GAAGAGGCTATTTTGGAGTATATATATATGGCTTCTTTGGCTATTTAGAATTCTATATGGCTGTTTCAAAGTGGCTGATTTGCAATATCTATGCTTTGAAGTGGTTATTTGAGTATATATGGCTGTTTTGAAGTGGGTATAGTTATTTTAAAGTAGATGTGGTTAGTATAGAGTATTTTTTAAAAAGTTTACATATATTTTGGAGTGATTTGTGACTCCCACCCCCTCGCCTACTGCCATTATTTATAAGTAACCGCATTATCAACTGAATGACTTGCAGTTAAAGTATATAAAAGAGATGTTGAAATTAAAGAATAAATGATTTTGAGATTTGCCGAAGGACTGTGATCTCTGTAACATAGTCTTGAAATGAATGCTAAATTTACGCGCCGTGAGACATTTTTCGCGCTGTGGTATCCTTCAGAATTTCAGTAGTTTAAGCATATTAAAAAATTCAACCAAGAATATTTGTATTTCATGAAAGGATATGAAAGAAAATAATTCATTTCATAAGATTTATTAGTGAAGTTATATGCATGCTAACCTGTCTAACAGAAGCCCCAATACCCATGGTACAATGATTATATTAATATATATTTTTTATGTTTCTTTATAGTAAACTATGATATATGTATTATACAGTACGCTCCATGCGTCTATATGCATGCAACGTATATAAAAATCCATATAGTGAAGTACATATACATCACATTCATTTCCAAACACCATATCACTAAATTACACTGTATATCACATTCTGCAAATCCTACGCACCATATATTCCATTCCATATAGTTTCTACATAACACACCAATCACTACATCCCACCACTCTTTCCTCCTTGCAAAGGCAATCGTAGATGTGGCATCCCTTGCACACGTGAGTTGAAACCCGTGTGTGGCTCAGACTTCCAAACCTACAATAATATGTGTATTTTGAGAAGCGAAAGAATGTGTTCCAAGCCTGGACTATATGCTGTACGTTCCGGTCGGTGTTAAAGGTACGTTGCGTGGTTATTGCATGTTGAAAGGATTATTTACGTGGTTGTTATATTGTTTTTTTTTGGTTTGTAGTTGTTAATATTCTAAAAGTCAGATAATATGGCCACATTCGTTTTATTGATGAAATTATTATTATTATCATTATTATTATTATTATTATTATTATTATTATTATTATTATTATTATTATTATTGTTATTGTTATGCTATATAGTATATTCATATAATTACCTTTAAAATGATTATTATAAAACACAATGAAAATCTAAGAACAAGATCACTTGATTAATCTAATTATATACCTTTCTGTTGATTTGAGTTTGCAGTTAATTTCCTAATGACAAAATCTTCCACATTAAAACTTTTACAGATTCGTTCACCAACAAATGTGGATTCTTCTGTTACCTGTAAGATATCGGCAGCACTGCAACGCTGAAGTATCCTTGCAACATACGCAACCTGAGAAGACCTTAGTCATATAACGGCTAAGGTGACCTTGGTGGTGTTAACAACGCATAAAAAAAGTCAAAATAAATATTTCAAAGTCACCGCTGCTTTTGTTTTACGTTTTCTTTGTCTTCTTCGTTGGAAAAGATTATATGTCCATCGTATACATTTTTTTTTATTTTTCATCACCATTACCATCATCTTCATCTTCATTTTCAGCATCATTTTCATCTTCATCTTCATTTTCAGCATCATTTTCATCTTCAGCATCATCACTTCATTTTCAGCATCATCTTCATCTTCATTTTCAGCATCATCTTCATCTTCAGCATCATCACTTCATTTTCAGCATCATCTTCATCTTCATTTTCAGCATCATCTTCATCTTCAGCATCATCACATCATTTTCAGCATCATCTTCATCTTCATTTTCAGCATCATCTTCATCTTCAGCATCATCACTTCATTTTCAGCATCTTCATCTTCAGCATCCTCATCATCTTCATCTTCATTTTCAACATCAGTAGTAAAAACAGCTGCACAGATGAGAGTAGTAACAGTCTACTACTAAATATTGTAGTGGTAGTTGTAGTAGAAACATTAGTTGTAGTAACAGAAGTCGTAATTATGATAAAGTCAGTACTTGTAACAGTAACAGTAGTTGTAGTATTAGTGGTAATAGATATAATAACAGTAAGTAAGTGATATTATTTGTAGCAGCAGTACAGTACTCGTTGGGACAATTTTAATAATGGTAGTAAAATATTGGTCATCATTTCGAATTAAACAATAACGTTCAGGACATAATTGTTCATTAAGTTGTGAATTAAGCCCCACGTACATGATTGCACGTGCATGATATGATCCTCAGTGATATATGGCAGCATGACAGGAGACTTTCCCGACGTGCGTTGCGGCTGATAGGCAAAAATGTCGCTTGCTCAACAGCCGGTTAATCTTGTGCCCTAAACACACGCATACACACACACACACACACACACACACACACACACACACACACACACACACACACACACACACACACACACACA